ACGGTGCCTACTGTTCGCTTGATTCAATTATCTATATGCTGCTGGCTTCTTTGCCAGGCTTATATATACTCAAAAAGAGGGCTTCTAGATCACACTCGAGTTGGCGGGCAAATTCATGATCCTTCGAGAGGGAAAGAAAGCATTGCTTTGTAGAATATTTGGCCATTTGTGGTGATTAAAACCTATGGATTATCAGAAATCCAGTATTTTTCTTACTGCATCTGTCTACTGAAATTTATTAAAGATCTTGCCAGTTATGAGAACCATGTACTGAATTAAAATTATGACACTGAATAATGCATTTTTTGGTCTATATAGATCAAAATTCTAGGTTCTAAGAATGAGAAATGAAGTTTAGCTTAAATTGAAGTTACAACATGACATGATGGGGAAAATATAAAAACAAACTTGATTTGGACTAAGATCTATGTTATTATGAATGTTTTGCAAATTTTTTCAGACAAGATAATGTATGTGTTATGAATTATATTTTTCCGGTAAATTCATGTCCAGGGTTACAAAAAAACAAGCTCTGGACACTGTCATATTTTAATAATTATTAAACAAAGTATTTCTGAAAGTCAAACCTTGAGCATGATATCAGTACCAAACTAATTACTTAAACCACACATACAAACAACTAGTAGTAGGATAATACTGAACAATGTTTTTATTTCTTTAGTAATATGTTATAAAAATTTATATGCACAGGCGCCTCAAATTATAAAAATGGTAAGAGTTCTACTAAGAATCAAACTCAGATTTATAAAAGTTTTATCTAAGAAAACATTAAATAGTTATATATTTACAAAATTAGTCAATATCTGTGATGTGTGTGTGTGTGTATATAGTTTGGTTTCATAGTTAGCAAAAAATAGCTTATTAATATTCATATTTTCATTAGTGTCATATGTTTCTAATAATTCTTGTAACATATTTTTAGATTGCATAGGTTTTGTAATTAATATTCAAAACTAAGATGTCAGCTAGGTACCATATTAAAATGGAAAATTATAGTCATTCGAGCAATGTAAAAGTAAATTTTAATAACTCAGACTTGTGTAATTCCTTTTTCTCATAGACTAAGAAATGCATGCAAACCCAAAGAGAAGCTATGATCACACTTTAACAACCTCTTGTTGACATTTTCCTTGTATTATCATTTTAATCAAATATTTTTATCAGTTATATATCATATGCATATGTATTACTTATTGCCTACCAAAGCTAACAACCTTCTATTAGGTTATAATGTAAAAAATGACATATTATATGATTCTGTTAACCAAGGCAGTAGGTTTTTAAAGCTGTTTAGGTCCTCATGTTTTTGAATGAGTTTATAAAGTGACTCAAAGGCAAAAATAGAAATATGACTAATACCACTTAGATTAAGTGAAGTTGTTCAGATAGTGATTTGGAATAAAGGATGGAAGAATAGTTAGAAAATACAAGTTTTTATTTTTTTTTAATTTGATATATTTCATAAGCTCTCTTGCATCTCTTCCTGTTTTAGCTGTATGTTGGGTACAGTATTTTAAATTTCATGCATAAAAGCAATTTTAATGAAAAACAAGATATCCCATAAGACATACAGAAGAAAAAATGTTTGTGTGTGTATCTATCTATCTATCTATCTATCTATCTATCTATGAGTTCAAGGATTGTAGCATTTTGTTACTTGTATCCAGAGGATACACATACATAGATATAGTTTTTTTGTTTATTTTCTCTTCTTTATTATTTACTATCTTCTACCAATTGTGGGAGGAAATGTTAATCCTTTTGTAAGTAATCATATTCTATTTTCATCCAAATTATTTTCTCTTAAGTTAACCACTTTCAAAAAATATATACTACAATAATTGTTATAATTTGTTTTTTTATTAGAATCAAAACTATAGACAAAGAATTAAACAAATCGAAAAAGCTTGTCAATGTAGTTTTGAGAGTCCAGATGAATCACATATTTTTATTAATGGATATGAACAAGCAGTAGAACTTGGGCAACTTCACCAGTGGAAGTCTTCAAATACCTCAGTACCATCTAGTCGCCAACATAAGTACTACCAAAAGGAGATAAACACACCTCAAAAAGAACCAGTTAATGGCAAAATTATGATCAACCAGACACACTACAACAATGTGCCTTGTAATGCTCATGCTTCAGAACCAGTATGTTATTAGTTTAAATTCAAATAATAAATTTTAATAAACATATGTGTATTTGAATGTGTATATATATCTTTACAAAGTGATAGTTGTCTTCTTGTTTCAGAGGAGATTTAGGTTAATTCATTGTACTAGATGTGAACTTGTGTATTTGAATGTGTATATATATCTTTACAAAGTGATAGTTGTCTTCTTGTTTCAGAGGAGATTTAGGTTAATTCATTGTACTAGATGTGAACTTTTTATTGACTGTACTTTCCTGGAGCATAATCTGAATCTCAGTTTTTGGCATTATAAGCCTTCAAACTTGCTTCTGAGCTACTATGGGGCCTGAAGCACAAGAGTGGACAACATTTAACATTTTGGTCTCTCTGTTGAGGCTTCAATGTTCAGTGCAATGAAATTGCAGTGAAATGTCATCCAGTTCTTCATTCCAAGCAGATGCAGTCCATAATGTGCTTGAAATTCTGATGAGCTGTTTTTTTATTAAGTTTTAACTAATATATATTTTATTAGTGATACATCTATATGTGCAAAAAGAAATTTATGAAGAGACACTGTTCATTTTCATTTGTGTCCATTAAAACCAAATCTATGTATGCTTATATTGCAAAATGATAAGTTTATATGCTCATTATTTTTATATCAAAAGCTTTGTTATTTAACATAAAAAATACTCTGGAGAATGTAACTGGATACTTCAACTTTGTACTTACTTTGTTACAGCATGAAAACATTGACATAGGTACGAACCTTAAAGATTTGATGGAAACAAGTAATCTTGAGGTTGATGCTGATGTTTCTCACAAAAAGAAGACCAATTCTCCAACTAAAACCAATAACATGCAACAAACAAATAGTAAGGTTTATTCTCAAGGGAGCAGTGATGAAGATGGAGATGTAGTCGAGTGTCCAGGATGTTTAAGAACGTTTCCATCTCATAGACATGTACAATTTTTAGATCATTTTGAGCAATGCCAAAACTTGCAGGTTGTAGAGTGAGAAATCAACAATTAAAGAGTTATTGGACTCAGTGTGGCATCTTCTATTATCAGATGTAGCAACTACAATTTAAGTTGAAATAGGCCACTTCATAGAAAGCAAAATGTTCCTGCTTTTCTACTTGAAACATTTATTGCTAATTGTAAGAACATTCTTTATATGCAGTTCATCAAACCAAAATGGTAACATTTTAGTGTAATTTATTTCATTTGTAACATTCAGATTATTTGTTTAAATATATTTACAGTTTTTTCTATGAGATGTAGAAAAACATCTCCAATGATTTTGACCTTATTGGTTGGTTATTATTATTATTATTTTTAAATGACCACTTTTTTATTTTAAATGATTGTCTTTAATTGATTTTGTACATCTGCTCCCCTCAAGAAGAAGAATATTTTATGATGTTAGTCTTATCAACATGGTAAAATATAGGATTTTAATTGATATTAAATGTACTGGTATTGATACTACATGTCTAACTTTGAAGTTTCATATCACTGATGTTGACACAATATAAATCTGACCAACATTTGATATCACAAGTATTTTCACATTAGAGATGGAACTAATACTTTATATTACAGAATTTAACTCAATGTTTATTTGACTGACACTTGATTTTAACATAGCAAAAGATTGACCCACACTTGACATCATTGGTATTACATCTTATATGTTATTTGTATTAATACAGTGGATGTTTGGTGAACATGCTATTGAAATCATGTGTATTAGCTTACTAAGAATATGATCATTGTTTTATATTGCTAGTATTAGTATACTAAAGATCTGACCAATGTTTATATAATCGGTTTTAAGGGATGGGTGTAAGATTGAAGAAAGTACCATTCTTTTAAAGCATCCTTAGAATTGTTTTGAGCTGCTAGCTTACAGTTTCATATGCTGTTTACTGGCTATTGACAGTTACATAGGTAAGCATCAGATGTTGGCCAATGGGATGGGTGTAAGAATGAAGAAAGTACCATTCTTTTAAAGCATCCTTAGAATTGTTTTGAGCTGCTAGCTTACAGTTTCATATGCTATTTACTGGCCATTGACAGTTACATAGGTAAGCATCAAATGTTGGCCAATGGGATGGGGAATGCTAAAGAACTTCTTAAATTATTGATTCACTTCACTAGGTTTATCACCATGGATTTGATATAGCATGTTTTACCAGTATTGGTATTACTATTTACATAACTTGGTTTTTATTCTGAAAATTTTTAGTTTCAGTATTAGGTCGTATTAAAAATTTTGTGAAGGTTTACACAATTATTATTAGCAAAGACTGATGTAACTTATTTTTCTATCTCAGTCTCATTCTTACTCATTATTTAGTTTCTCCTTCTTGAGTTTTTCTTCAAGTGATCAATACACCATCATCAACTTGTCTATTAGTTTTTAAATTTATTCATTTAAAAACTCTTCTCAAAATGTGCCACATTAAGATTATACATATTTTACAAGAAGTACTTGTTTTTCTACACAGCTAAACATGCTTAATAAATTCCATATTTATTTTTATAGACTGATATCAGTGTTAATCACTATCTTATCTCTTGCTATAAAGATTTTGTTATTGCTAGAATTACTCATAACATGCAGAATCTTTATACTTTGTACAGGTAAACATTACTTATCCACCTCTTCTTGATGCAAGCCGTAAAATAATTATCAAAATCAGATAAGCAGTTGCATGATGTATAAAAATTACAGTTGTTTAATATTTAATTCTGCAACCATTTCTTTCTGAGTTCTGTTTAACACATAATCCAAAAACCTCTAAAGTCGGTTGACAGATCATATTAAATTTTCCCTGTAATTAGGCATGTATTCTGCAAACAAACAAATTTGAGAAAAAGCAAAATACACTTCTAAATTTCTTATATGCAAAAATTGTTAGTTGGCAGGCTTGCAAAAACTTTATTAAAATATTCACTTAGTGTTTTTATTCTGGAAGTCAGAGCAAAAGTTTAAAAGTTAGTCAAGTCTTGTGTAGTTAATGAAGCTATAATTATATCTGCCAGTATTATTAAATACCATTTGTTGACTTTGTAAATGTATAATGTGCCAGAATGAAAATAAAACAAAGTTTGACAAAATGATAAAGTATATTCTACATCTGTTGAATATATTATTATGTAATACTTATAAAGTTACTTTATGAAATAATAAGATACAATCATGGAAGTGTTATGTTAAAGATTTATCATGTGCTAAAAAAATGATGTATGTGACTCAGTGTAGTCTACAAAGGTGTTTCATTGCAGTAGTTTACAAACACTGTGAAAGATTTGATGAATTAAAAAGTTTAGGAAGTCTTTGACTTGAGACTGTATTACTAGAAAGTAATTCAAATACGATGTTTTCATTTAATTTGGATTGTACATTTTAAAAAGTAATTTTAAAGTCTTCAGTTTTGTTTCAAAGAATATAGAAAAGACTTGGATGACCACATTAAAAAAGTTAGTGTTTTATCAATAAAACAGGTTTCTTTTTCCTCATTACGGAGTGTCAAGTTTTTTCTATGGGCCGAATTCTTCACAGTAGGTGTCTGTGATTTTTTACGATAAATTTCAACAATAAACAAACAGCACACAGTCCACTTGTTTTAAAATAATATATATTAAAACAAGTCAAATGTATATACAAATGTCTGTTACACTGTTACCTATAACAGTAGTATTTAGAGCTTTAAATAATCGTCTCATTTTCGTCAAAGGCCACACAGGTTGGTTCAGTTACTTTAGAACAAAATTTGACAAGACAAATTATTCTTTCTGCTCTATTATTTTAATACAGTCTGTGATAATTTCACTTTAAAATCAACACTAACTGTTTGTTACCACAGTTGTATCCAGAGTTTTAAATAATTCTTTTTTTCGTCAAAATCCACACAGTCTGGTTGAATTACTTTAGAACACAATTGACAAAACGAATTATTTATCTCTGCTCTTTTATTACAATACAGTCTGTGATAATTTCACTTTACAAATAGCCACTATACGCTCTTTATGGCTAAACTCATAATCAAGCAGTCTAGGTCTATCTAACTAACTAGCTTGAACTACATTTTGGACGCGAATTTATAGCCCGACTGAGGCCTAGAACGTTCCATACATTACAAAATATTATTATGTAATAATACTCAATTAAAACAACGAGAAAAATTTAGAAGATTCTAGTAACATGACTCAATAATACAACAACTGAACTTCACAACGAAAACAATTACGTAAACAAACCTGCTATAAACTATCTGAAAATAACTAAATTTAACACCGGCGCTATCCTTAAATGGAAACAGTCGTGTATAACTAACACACAGTAATTTTAATTACAACTGTGAGGATGTAAAGGAATTAAGAACTTAGTTCTGTGGTTATCAGAAAAAGTAACAATGTACTGCAAATGTTTATAATGAAAATGAAACAAACTTGGATTTGGGTGTTTTTGTTTTTAAAGTTTAGGGTTCAAATATATTAAAGTGTGAACAAATTACTCGCTTCTTTGTTCACAATTTCCTTTGTGATTAAAAAAACGATACCAACTAGTCTTTTTATTTTATTTTTAAATGGTTTGAAAGTTGATAATTTTTCTGCAATTATTTCTTCCTTGAATGCTTTAAGCTTCCAAGAGCAAGAGTTTATTAGCTATGCTGCATCTTTTTGGGAAGCCTAAAATTTTCTTTTGGTAGCCCCCCAGTGGCACAGCGGTATGTCTGCGGACTTACAACGCTAGAATCCGGGTTTCGATACCCGTGGGGACAGAGCACAGATAGCCAATTGTGTAGCTTTGTGCTTAATTACAAACAATTCTTTTGGAATGTTTTAAATATGATCCACCCACCGCTTGGTAGTTATCAATACTTGGGTAGAATCATCACAGCAATTTACCTTGATGAATTAATCAACAAAATACTGAACAGTAATTTCTTTTAGAAAATAATGAATAATTTTGTTGTTTCAAAACATCTCTGTTCACAAATAGTAGTGTAAATATAGGGAAGCACACTACCAGTAGCAAGTCCTGCTCAGGAGACAATTGTCTCCAAATGTGTTTTATTCGTTAAATGTGGTCTGTCTTAGTTATGAAGCAATCCTTTAATGTTACTTATGGCAGAAGGTATAAAGCATGATAGTGTGAAGTCTCCCAGGTACACTTTGTACCTGGGAGACAAAATTCCAGTGTGAAAAATAACACACTGTATTAATTGATGCATTAGATAGAACATAATTGTTTTAGCATATAATTGTTTCTATTTATTTTGGATGTGAATAAAAAAAGTGTGCTCACTCAACCATCATATAATCAAACTAATGCAATGATCAAAGGAAAGACCACAGTTCTTCTACAAGTTAATACTGTGAACACAATATTACCTGAAAGATTCAATTTAACAGTTCTTCTACAAGTTAACACTGTGAACACAGTATTACCTGAAAGAATCAATTTACTGATATCTTACGTGCTACTTTCTGATGAAAGAATGATATATTTTTTGTTGCTACTCCTTTGAGTTAATTCCATAATATTGAATCCTGCCACTTAAGCAAAAGATATTAATGAAGCTTTATTCTAGAAGATGAAAAAAAAATAGATCCAAGAAAACATAATTCATGTCATTCACTTTTAGTAAGGCACCATTTACTTCGATCTAGCCCTTGGATTATTTGGAGGGTGGCCCTTCCTGAAACTAGTATAACCCAAATAATGTGGCAGAAATAATATAATAACCCTTTAAAAAATAAATTTTCCCTAGTAATTGATGAAACAGAAAATATAATTCTAGAAAATATTACTGCTCTGTTAGAGTATTAATGGAGTAATTGGTAACAGAAATATTGTTCGTCCATTGAATTACTACAATATATCAGAATATTTGGTAGCAGTTATCATTCACATTGTTAAATACACTTTATCAAATAATGCTTAATGAAAGAAATCTTTTGCTATACATGTACAGATTTAATGGTAATGTTGACGTTTCTTGATAACAAGTAAAGGGGAATGAATTCGAATCTGTGGTATATCAAGCCTTTAAGTGATTTGTATTTCACCAGAAAATGATAAAGAGCACAAGTGAATATTCTTATTCATTATTGATTAATACATTCCTACCATACACTTCAGAAAAGAAAAAGAGAAAAAAAGGTAATTTTTGAGTTTAAGGTTTGGTTTGAATTTCGCGCAATGCTACACGAGGGCTATCTGCGCTAGCAATTTAGCAGTGTAAGACTAGAGTGAAGGCAGCTAGTCATCACCACCCACCGCCAATAGTGGAGTTGACCGCCACATTAAAATGCCTCCAAGACTGAGAGGGCGAGCATGTTTGGGGGG